ATTGTACCTCTACCAAAGAAGCAGAGAAGAGAAGTCTTAGCAAATGAATTTGGAAACATGCAATAAAAAAAAAAGTTACCAAAGAATTCACTTCTTTGCTTGAAGGTTTCCACACTAATTCTGAGGCAAAAAAACTGAGTTTTTTTTTGTTACACACAGACTCAGTAAAACAAATAATTGTTCTTAAAGTTCTCTTTCCCCTCCTTGAGTCCTCCTAGCTCTACAATCAAAAAAATTTCTTTAAGGGTGTGAAACAATTTTGAGTGAGTGATGATTTAAATGAGGAAAATGTCCTTTTTTTTTGTGGTCCTCTTCTATTTCATGAGATACCCTACACAATTATCCTTATTTATTAGACAGGAGAAAATGCTGCCTGTCCTTTTAAAAACTGGGACTAATTTTACACTTTCACAAAGTTTATAGGCATTTAAAAAGAACCACACTTCAAACTGCAGGAAAAAAGAAAACACCCCAAGGCAGTAACAACAAGCAAACAACAACAAAAATAAACAAAATAAAACCCAGAACAAAAAACCCTCAAAACTTTCAGAAACTTTGAAGTCAGAGTTGTCAGGAAGTGGTCTCCTTTTTTTTTTTTTTTTTTTTTTTTTTTTTTTTTTTTTTTTTTTTTTTTTTTTTGCATTGTGTAGCAACCATAATTATATCAAAATTAGGTATGATTCATTAGAAAACACAAAATAAGTAATTCTATTTAAATGTATATTTCTCTAACAGCTTTCTTCCTTTTTTTGCTTCTTTTTTTTTTTTTTTTTGGTGTTTCTTCTCTTTTATAGAACATACAAAAATTTTAAAGATAGAAATCATGGGTAAATGTTAGATTTAAACTACAATATGTATAGTGGGGATTTATCCAAGGGAGTTAGTACAAAAGCAGAAAGAATTCTATGTACAAAAATTATATTCTGCACTATTTTCCCCTCCTGAACTATTTACAAAAGTTTAAACGTAGTGCAACATAGTTTTCAAACAACAAATTATTTGTACCTATTAGTCTGAATAAAATAGTTATGAAAACTTTGAGGCAGTATAACAAGTGCCATGGTATAGCAGTCAGTGAAAACAAAGACACAAAAACATAAAAAGAAAACTATTACAAACTGAAAAATGTTGGCAAGAAACACTTGAAAATAAGTTGAATTTTGTGTGACGATAAAATCATTGGAATTATTTTTGGACTGCTTTTCTAATTTTCAACTTTGTAAAAAGTGGTTTTATTCTTTTACATTTTTTTTCTCTGCATGTTCATATTGAAGGAAAATAGACAGAATTTTCTCTTTAAAATGGAATCCAGTTTCAGTGTTTTGAAGTTAGGGGGGGAGCTGACCAAAGGAGGAAAGAAATGGAAGAGGAGGAGGGGGAGGGAAGAGGAGACAAAAAGCAAGAAGCATAACTATAATTGTGAGTATTATTACTACATAATAAATGCAATTGCTAAAGAGACATTTCTCCTTCACACACATTTTTAATTCATATACAAACAATTTTACTGTGAAGATTCTTTTCTAAAAGCAGGGGAAAAAAACGCTTGTCTTTAATATCAAAATAAAGCAGAACACTAGTCAAGGGGGCTGAAAGGTCCTCCATCCCCTTTTATACCCACCTAGGAATGTGAGTCATAATAAGACACAACCCTTTAGCAGGTTCATTTTAGTGCTGGGCACATTAATAACCTAAGGATAAAGCCTCAGTCACCAACCATGTAGTTCCCCCAACCCCAAACTAAAATAGCCAGGTCACTGAGGCAAAACTCTTGTGGGGGCTAAAGACTGCATCTCACCCCAGCTGCCTCTACTCCTGGCTCTTTAAAAACTTTTGTAGCCTGACTGTAAACACAGAAGCCCTGTCTTGTGGGGGAAGGGGTAGGGAGGAGAGAGGATTAGAATATAGTGTGAAACAGCTAACTTTCAAAAAGAACCAGTGTGAATAGAAGTAATTGGTACTTTGTTAATGAAATAATTTTAAAAAGATTTTTAAAATAGACTGTGGAAGTAGGCTATTCTGAATTTCTGTATTTTTTCCTTCTACTGTCATTTAAACATTTAAATTATTTCTTAAATGGAAAAAAGAGTCAACTTAAAAGTGAACTGAATTAAATTACTATTTTTAATAGTTTTGTTTCTCTTGAACTCTAGGATAGTAAAAGATGGGCTGCACTTTGTGGGAGATTAGAAGTCTGGGTAGAGCTTTTTTTTTTTTTTTTTTTTTTTTTTTTTTGAGGGTTAAATTGCTTTTGTTTTAGGAGAAAGCCAGCACTGGTTAGATTACCCAGGGAGATTATCTAAGAAGTGTTTTTATCAACCGCCTAAGATGTAAAGTGAAGCAAACAGTTTTTGGGAAGTGGGATGTCCTCCCTAGGTACTTTCTTGTCTCCCAATATAACAAAAGATTTGGAGACAGAGTTACTATTTATGAAGACCCAAAGACTACTACAGCTTCTGAAACCATCTTTTAGCCCTTTTCAAAAATCCACACGCATCACTAAGAAAAGTCCCCAGGCAACAGATCCACACATTCTAGCCAAGAGAAACCCTCCCCACTGGACTTTTAATTTTCATTAATCTGCAGGTTCTTCCTTCTTTTTTTTTTTTCATTCAAAAATGTTTGCTCTAAGTGCCTACTATGGGCAGGCACTGTTTCCAGCTCATTGGCTTAGTTTGTTAAAAATTACGCTGTGATCAGAGCTGACAAAACACGAAGTTAGTGGGGGCTGGGGGGGATGTCGGGGAGGGCGTGTGGGGACAGAGACTCACTCAGCTGTCTCCCGCCTTCGTGGACAGAAAAACATTTTTTTCCCCTAGTAAGCAGCAACAAACTGCTAGTGATATTAAATTCCTGTTGCTTCATGGGAAGAAAAATGTCACAAAAACAAAAAATCCGACAAACACGTGGCTGGCTAGAACAAAACGCCGATTTCAGAGAGTGGATTGTGAGGTGGTGGAGGAGACTCAGAAACCGAGTTGGCAGCCCTCCCCCGCCCCATTTCTTCCCGGCGCGCCGGGAAAACGAGGAGGGGGACAAAGGTGCTGGGTGTTGTGTTTTAACTCCCGACTTTCCAAACGGTAGGAAATCATCCGGCAGACGGGCGGTGAGCCGAAGTCGGAGTTGGCTTAGGACTCTGCAAACGAAAAAAAATAACAATAAAAAAAAATTCAAGCCGTTCACATCGGTGCAGTCAACACGTGTTACGGGGCCGGCCCGGGCCGCAGGCGACTGAGACAATGGGGGGGGGACGGGGGACTGGGGGCGGGACGGGGGAAGGGGAGGGTGACCCTCTTCTTCACCTGCCCTGGCCGCACGCGTGCCCCAGACAGCCCTCCTCCCTGCCGCGGGCTCGCGCGGCACAGGGACATCTCTTTCTCGGGGGGTCCCCAGGCTGCGCTCTGC